TCAGAACTCAGGTGAGAGGGATCGTTGTGATTGGGTGGTGGCGGAGCCTGGCCGATCTGTTACACGCACAGATATAATACACTGCACATCAATATCTCTTCCCTTTGTGCTTTGAACTTTTCTATGCAGAGTGCTGCGAGCTGTGACTCCATGTTGCTTCAAGCGCATCATTCTGTGCACGGGATGTGCATAAGCATATTGTGCCGCTCTGTATTGGAGCCTTTCATGTTATAATACTTTTGCGCAATGAAAGATTGTTAATAGCCTTTCTTTTTCTGTCCTATCTATCATTTGTTGCTGCCTCATTACTGTGCTATACATTTAAAAGAAATGTCTTTTAATTTTATAGTATACAGTATATTTATATATAAATATATTTACTTGTTTTTCATGAATATTTTACAACAATACAAAAAGCCATGTTTAACATTTTACCAGATTTAGTCCTACACTTATTCATTTTTATTTTTCCCCACTAAATAATGGTTTTTCACTAAATGTTTAGATTTTATAAAATTATTGTGCACTCATCATTTTGCTAGAGTAACTTTTGCTGCTGAATTATCCACTAACCTAGTTTATAATAGTATTTTTTCACAGATTATGATTATATACTTATATATTGTTATATAAATATAAGATTTACTTGTTTTTCATGAATATATCTTACAACAATACAAAGAGCAATGTGTAGCATTTGACCAGATTTAGTCCTACACTTATTCACTTTTATTTGTTCCCCACTAAATGTTTTTTCACTAAATGTTTAGATTTTATAAAATTATTGTGCACTCATCATTTTGCTAGAGTAACTTTTGCTGCTGAATTATCCACTAACCTAGTTTATAATAGTATTTTTTCACAGATTATGATTATATACTTATATATTGTTATATTTCTGTACAAAGACTTGTCTATATTTTGTAGATTGTGTTTAACACACAAAACTGTGATGATCAGGTCAACACAGAGGTATAGAAATTCTACATTGATTAAAAAAAAAAAAACTAGTATTGCTAGTATGGATCGGTATCGGTATTGGCCGATACTCAAAATCTTTGGTATCGGAACGGTTCTGAAGAAATGGTATTGGTGCAATCCCTACTTGCATCCCTACTACTTTTTGTGAGTCCAATTGAAGAGTACGCGCTTCGAGTACAGTACCGTTTCCGCGCTTGCTTGACTCGCGCCTGGCGCTGAAGTGAAGAGGAGCGCACGTCTGAAACATCGTTCTGCGACTGAATAAATGCAGTTCTTGTCAAGAGAAAAGGTGACAGAAGCAGCAGTTGTGAGTAGGGTGGTCAACCCCAATATATATATATATATAATATTAATATTAATTAGATATAAATATATACATATATATATATATATATATATCAACACTGCGCCACCGGCGGTAGCTGGTCCATTACCACCGCAGTGGTAAAAATCTTCCACCGTCACAGCCCTAATATTAATATAAATAAGGTAAGTCTGAGAGTCTTATGTTTATTTGACGATGATTTCACATTTCTTGTTTGTATAAACACAAATAAAAGGTGAACATAAATTTTTTGTACCGTTTTTATTTCTAAAATATAATAAAGTTTTATAGGAGAAGGTTTCATAGACTTGGCAAATTAATTTTTCAGAAGTTTGTAGGTACAGACATCCGTTGTGGGCATTCTTGGCAGTTTTCCAGAGGCTTTTTAAAATATTGTTCATATCTATATCGGAATTATATCATATCAACCGAAATTAAGAAATATATCGTGATATAAATTTTGGCCATATCGTCCAGCCCTACTCTAGCCTCAGTGTCTGCCTGGCACACATGACACACAAATGCCCTTGTTTTTGGGGAAGGCTGTCTTCCCTCCAACCAATGGTGCAGACCATTCTGATGCACGCAACATGAAAACACCATCACAATGGCCTTTTCCCTGCAGTGTTGATGCAGTGTTGGTGGCTAACATTAATCTAAAGCAGTGTTTCTCCAACTGCTTTTGTCTTCAGTAATCCCACAGATACATCAGTAAAGATCACATCTCTTTAGTGGCACTAAAGCAGAAATGTGTTCTTTATAACTTATACTACACTGGATATTTAGCATCATCATGAATAGGTGTTTCTTCAGCTATGGCCATTTTTAACCCTGTGAACTCTTAAAAAACACTTTACACACTTACTATTATGTCAAGTCTATTTGCATAGATCATACAAGGAGAAGATTTAGATGATCAATATAACCTTTTAAAATATAATAAGTCTGGGACAAGGATAAACAAAAATAAAATAAAATATTTACATAAAGATTTAGGCTAGAAGTAGCTAAAAGTAAAGGCATTCAAAAAAAAAGACAAAAAAAGTGTCTGCAGTTGAAGAAATACCATAATATCATTACAATGATTCTCTTTGGAGAAATATTTGTAACATATAGCCTAGAAGTCAATAAAATGTGGGTAATGTTATTATATTATTTCATTATTGCAGATTTGTACTGAGTTTAGAGTTTGCATTTTCCAAGCATTTTTTATGCAGATTGAGGAATACAGAATCTAGGTTTTTTTATTTTATAACTGATTTAAATTTTTTATTTTGTTTCCTTAAAGAATTGGGGAAAAACATGAAAGAACTTCCTGAAGTTCTTGATTTCTTTCTTTCGTAACATACTAGGACAAAGATGATCATTCCACATTAAGAGCAGACATCAATTCCAAACACATTAATTTATTTTTGACTGCAAGCGCAACACCACAGGTCAAATGCGTCAAACCATCAGCTTCAACTAGACAGGCAGCCGCTGATCTGAAGCAATATTCTAGTTCACTTGTATCTTCTCAAACCAGACCACAAATATGTACAAACACACAGAATGCCTGATATAAACTGACAACCTTTGAATGACAAGTGCAGATATATAGTTCAGAAATATAAAATTTTACTCAGGATGTTGCATCATATTACATGGAAATAAAGCCAAACAATCAACCATATCCCACAATGTCGTATTTGCACTTCAAAGACAAACTATTCAACAAAACGAAACTGAGTCTCTGGTTACTAGAACCACAGAGGGAAAACATTCAGAGCTAAATCTGACAAGACACAAACATTCAACGGCTGGTGCTTTCAATGTCTATTTCAGCATTGTCATTCATATCCACACCTCTTTCCTTTCAAAAAAGCCAGTTGTCACTCCATAAAGAATACGCAGAGGGATAAAGCAGTGTATTCAATTCATAAATATCCCTTTAAGAGGGCCGCGTCAGTGATTTGTCACTGGGGACTTTTGGCAGAGCTGAAATTGATGTAAAGGTGACATGTGAGTTATGTATGTGGCAATGGCAGGCGTTTTGAAATTACTGAGTGAGGCAGGCAGGCTCACTAAAAACCAAACCAAAACCAAAGCACTCCTCAGCGTTCTCTTTACCAGCCTGCACAAGAGGATGTCATTAATTTGAGGGGAGAGTTAAAAAAAAAACAAGAAAAATCCCCCAAAAGCTTGACATGCACACACAAGGTTATATTGTCTCCTGTTCTCTGATGACGCCTGTCACTTAATGTGTGAAAGCTATGCTTGCTTCAATGGGATCAACTGTAATAAAACTGCATCGCCTTCACTGAGCTATGAGTTTACGAATCTCCTTGGAGAAACTCAGTCATTTAAAATCCCTCTAGCTTACGGCAGTGAAACAATGTTTAGTTTCAATCTCCCCGCAGCCTCCGCACGGAGGGAGCAGCGCCGCACGACAGACTGAACACGAACAACAAATAAAATGTGAAAATCAAGCAAGTCACCGTCTCATTTCCATTAAATGATAAAGTAGCTGCACTGAAAAGAAATGAACTAATTTAAAATGGCTGGCCTATAGGTCAAGGACAGCTGGAGCAAACAGTCTCTGATTTTTCCTCCCACAGTCATACAAATAAAAACATTTTACATTTTCATTTTCAATACCAAAATCTAAGAGGCTTGTTATCTTTTCTTGTTTGTTTGATACATTGTCTGAAAAGCCTTCAGGCTTTGATAAACATACTTAAAACACATTTTCATATGTAGATTATTACGTATATGGCTATGTTAGATAGCAAGGCTGCTATGCAGTGGCACAGAGGGGTCTGAAATAGCATGTCAGCGTCTATTGAAAGTCAATAAACAACTGAGCCGAGCGAAACAACTTGCATTATTCTAATCTTAAAATATTTTTGTTTCCTTGAATTGTTAATATAAAATCACACGGTGGTCTGACCCCAGAAAAAAACTTTCATGAAGTCTTGAAAATGTTACATTTGTTGCCAATAAGCTTTCCACAACTACAGACATACTGAGCTGAGCTCAGAGGAAATGAAGGAAGACTGAGATGAAGAGACGGTCGAATAAAACAGAGCATTCATATTCTTCTCTGATTTATCACTGTAATGACTATGGGCAGGATTACTTTCAACACACAAGTTAATAATAAATCAATAAATAAATACATAAATAATCACATCCTGTCTATATTTCCAGGGAATTCAAACATCTGTGAATAAAAGTGATGCTGGAACAGATGGCCAAAAATGATATACATTGGAGTTTTAACTTACAAACTGCTGTGCAATTCACCTCCAAAAAAGCAACAGAATACGAGCTAAAATATTGAATACCAGAACATAAATGTTTTACGAGCAGTTCATAACCTATTGCAAATTTATATTTGCATAAATGTAAAAATGAGAGCTTTGTATATACAGAAAGCTTTATGAACCTGCTGTTTCCTAAAACACTCAATCTATGTCCGGTGAGTGAAAATCCTTTGCAAGCACAGCACGGAAAATAGGCAACTTCCTCCTGCCACAAAAATAAGGCAATCACACAGTTGCTGTTAATATCTGAACTGACTGCAGAATCCCTAGAGGTTTCTATTAACACATTGTGTCCATTTCACTGCTTAAAATAAACAAGGTTTTATCTCTATAAAGTCAGCAGAAGTTAAAAAAAGACAGCAGCAGATGGCGGAGAGAGGTGACCTTACCTCATTGGTGTTCCACCTGTGTCTCTCTTTTGGCAACGTGGAGCATTTTGGTAGACATTCAAGCAGCTTTTTGGGCAGGTATATTTTTAAATGTCCATGTTCATCTGCAAAAAAAATAAAAAATGTTGCATTAAAGTATAGAAGTAAGAGGCAGTAAAATGTTTGTGCCATTAATCAATACCCATGATGGATTGATGTAAGCATGCTAATATTTAGGGCTCAGTGTATGTATACATAACCAGTATATATGATTTAATATTAGATTATCCTTTGCCGTTCTTCTACATTCTTCATACACAGCACATAACAAGGATCATTAATTAATGGCCGCCAATTATTCTGACTGCAAAGAGCAACTAATGAGCAACTTGCAGAATGATGGTAAAAAAAATTGTGAATTAATGAGCCAAGCATGCTATGAAAAAAAGGTAAAAGAAATAGTGAAAAATTGTGATGAGAATCATCAGAATTCAGGTGTTTCAGTAATGAAAGTCCACTACCATGGGCTTAAGGGGAACTGATGCTAAGCTTTATTAACACTTTAACTACCCAATAAAGTACACACCCACCCTGATCATGATTCCTGACTGCTCGAAAGAACAGTAAAAAGCACAAATGCTAGCTAAAGATAAAAGAAAAAAGGAAATACAATTTTGTTCGGGGGCAATTAAGGCAGGGATATATATCAAGCTTTCTTCCATTCTTACCCTGTCTGTCTCTCGTTCCCATTCCTAGGGGCTTGGCAGGCCAGTCACTGCCATTTAACTTTCATTGTTAAATGAAAGTTCACTTTCAGGGCAGAATTTCTAAATTACAATGAAATTGTCTACAACTGTAAATTGAGTCCAATTATAATCACATAGTTACAACCAACTGCTGATTATACATTCACTGTCACCTACACCAACATGACATTCACATTCAATTCCAGTAAAACCCCTGCAGGAGTAAGTATGAATGGATGAAAGGGGAGAAAAAAAGCTTTGACCAGAATGAATATGCCTGAATAAAGTGAATATATGCAATCTGCAAGACTTTTTGGGGGTAAAATAATCTTACATAATGTGGTGTAATGTGGTGTTTCGATCAGTGATGAGCGGTGACTATTTTAACGGGGTATGCTGAGTGATAAGATCCACCCCCCCATCGGTTTTTAGGACACTCAAAAGGGATCACAGATGACAAATAAGAAACACCGTGGCAGGTGTCGATTTAAAAGTATGCACATACTTTAACCTTATTTGTAAATGAAATTCATCTCCAATCCTTCTTCTATCGTTTCAGGTTTATCCATTGTTACTCGAATGCAAGAAAAATATAGCTGGTTTTCCAAGTAAAAACCGCCAAATAAGGTTTACACGTAGCTATGTTATGATACGTAATCAGAGGGTGTTCACTTTCAGGGCAGAATTTCTAAATTACAATGAAATTGTCTACAACTGTAAATTGAGTCCAATTATAATCACATAGTTACAACCAACTGCTGATTATACATTCACTGTCACCTACACCAACATGACATTCACATTCAATTCCAGTAAAACCCCTGCAGGAGTAAGTATGAATGGATGAAAGGGGAGAAAAAAAGCTTTGACCAGAATGAATATGCCTGAATAAAGTGAATATATGCAATCTGCAAGACTTTTTGGGGGTAAAATAATCTTACATAATGTGGTGTAATGTGGTGTTTCGATCAGTGATGAGCGGTGACTATTTTAACGGGGTATGCTGAGTGATAAGATCCACCCCCCCATCGGTTTTTAGGACACTCAAAAGGGATCACAGATGACAAATAAGAAACACCGTGGCAGGTGTCGATTTAAAAGTATGCACATACTTTAACCTTATTTGTAAATGAAATTCATCTCCAATCCTTCTTCTATCGTTTCAGGTTTATCCATTGTTACTCGAATGCAAGAAAAATATAGCTGGTTTTCCAAGTAAAAACCGCCAAATAAGGTTTACACGTAGCTATGTTATGATACGTAATCAGAGGGTGGGGAGATGGGGGGATTCCCCCGGTCTATATGTCTCTCTGCATCAGTTAAATTATTTTTTTATTCACAGTGAATAGGAGTTAAAACTCTCACCCGGGTGACATAACAGACCATGCAAATACCCAAAATTAAGGAACGTTGCAACCTTGCAAACAATAATAAAACCAGAGAAGGACTTCAACTGTAAGCAAAACAATATGATGTTTGTTATTATTAAAATTCTATATAGCCCACGTTTTTATAAAAAAAAATTATAAAAAATTATTTACTGCTTGGGCAATAATGCTGACAATAACGTTTATCTTCAACATACGTTGTCTATGACCAAAAATGTAAGTTGTTCAGTGGACTTTTAAAATTAGCTTTGCTTGAGAAAATAAAAATATACAGTTAGTGTTTTTTTTTTTAATTTTGGTTTAGTCGAGTTGGTTTTGCATCAAACACAATGTGATTCTCGAGTCTCGATTCTCGAGCAACAGCGCATTTTTCCGCTTGGGCGAGCGCTTCGCGAACAGCTTACCTCACGCATTAAATCTGCCGCAGACCAACAATTCACTGAGAACGCGCTATACTCCTGACGAGTCATAGCAACAGAGCGGAGACGAGAAAGCTGCGGAGAATCCGCTCGCCTGGAAGCAACCGCAACTGACCTAGATTTACAGAAAATTACTACCGTTTGGCAAAAAAATCATTTTACGTACTTATTCCTAACACTTTAAGCTTTAAGTTACATTTCAAATGTCAAGGGATCAACTTATAATCATGTTTATATGAATTATCAGGTGAACTGATTCTCTCAAATGGCCTGGGTATGCGGAGCATTCGCAGCTTATATGGACGGAATGACACTGATTCATATATCATACTGATATATATATATATATACAGTATATATATATATCCATACAAACATCCAAATAAAATCATTAAAATACATTACTGTGAAGCAAACAAATGTGCATAAGATATCTATTTTTAATTTTCTGAGATATTTATATTAATGTTATGATCATTTTAAAAAGTCATTAGTTTATGAGCTCAACCTATATTTCAACACCAGCACAATGACGGGATGTCTAATCCATAACAAACATCCTAACAGGGAGTCAAAAATCTGACATAATATGCCTGAGTCACTGTCAAAAACGCCCCCACCATTTTCCTAAGGCTGTAATTGTGACAAACAATCGTCTATCAGTTGCGAATGAGATGCTATATCAAATCCTGTAAACGTGGTTATGAGCATGCTTGCAAATCAGTTTTGATTTCCTCTGTCTCTAAGCTAATGCGCTTATACGTCACCAGGTTTTCTGCTGCCACTCACGTCACTGATGAAAAATCAAGACACATGCTACAGCCAAATACGCATCTCAAGGTCTGACGGTTTGTGTTACACTGTCGGACAATTATGAAAAATTTAAATAACCCTCATATGAGGGCCTCTTTCTCCACATCAGTGAGAAAGATATTTGCTTCTCTCAAACGACAGTGGCATCAGCTAAACTGGTCCAGTTGTGAATCTTTCATTGTTCCCCAGTTGTCAGACAATCAACTCTGATATTGCAGACATCTGTTTATGTCAAAGAATAGGATTTTGTCATCTGTTTGTACTGAAAAATATGGTCTTAAATGACATTATCATGTTATAGATCTCTAGTTTTCTTTCTTTTTGTCTTCTACACCCAAAATTATATTTTCATTCAATGAAAAATGTACAAAAACATCACTTATCACTGTCTGCAAAGCCAGAACAGATTTTTGCTTTACATGCCATAATTCACATTATAATCGTAGGGTGGCGTGATGGGAAGAGGTTAAATATGAGAGTCATACCTTAGCTGAGTGAGGGATAACATACAGTCAGCCAGTCATTATCTCCAAGCAAACTCTGACAGGGTGATCAAGACCCTGACACAAAGTGGAGGTCTCTTGTATCACCCTGAATGGATAATAACCAACTGACTGTATATTTTCCCACTCATTACACAGCTACTAACCAATTAAATAAATACAGAGAGATAAAATATTGCATTGAGAAATTATTTTATTATCTTACCCTTTTATCTCTATAAAGAATTGCTAAGTAGTGGTGATTGGTTATTGTAAATTGTGTATGTAATAGTTTATCCATTATTATATGACAATCTGATTGCTTAATTTCTATTTTTATATATTTTATTATTTTATTTATAATAAATACAAGCATTCTCAAGAATTTCATAGAATGTGTGTTTCAATTTAGAGGGACTGACTTTTAGTTGTCCTTCCTGTCTAGCTATGCCACCTTTGAAAATGTCTTACAGTGACCGTGCTCAACAAATTCTTTTACTTTATTCAAGGAATGTGATTCTCAAGTGTGCGCTTCTTGTTACCTGAACCCTTTTCAATTTGTCTGAGAACCCCACGAAAGCTCAGACTTCTGTTTGTGAATATAAAACAAAGACCTGTGTCTCAAGCACAAGCTGACCAGAAATCAAAGATGTACACTTCAAATGGCAAACCCCCATGTCCCCAGTGCTTCTTAAAGGCAAAGTCACCCTGCCAGTCCGTTCTTCTATTACACCTCTATTTTTAATTTGCTCAGATGTTTGGATGTCTAAAGTTTTAAAAAACAATATTGGAGAATATGGACTTAAAGGATGACTGTGAAATTTTAAAGAATGAGAAAAGGTGGAGGGGAGAGAGAAGGGAAAAACAGCTCACTGAGAATTAACCCCAGCCTGGAGCAAGGTCCTAACAAAGAGTTTACAGCTACCTGATAAGGCCGTGATACGACAGTATGACTCTCTGTGCTCTTTCGTTTGGGGCATGGAGATAATTCTGGAGATTGGAGTATGTGCTGAATAGGGTGGGGGAAAAAATCGATACAGCATAGTATCGCGATATTTTCCATAGCAATACTGTATCAATACACAGACGCCAAGTATCGATCTTTCATTAGCCTATACTATTTGGTAGAATAATAAAATCAATTTCTTTACAATCCACTTGATAGTGGTGTTGAGTTTTTTTCTGGTGAGGTCAGCTTGGTCACCTTCAGCATGCAGTAAGTTAGTAAAATAAAGAGGGCGGCATCGTGGAAAGTTATCAGGAAAGCCCCATCCGCG